TTCCCAAATTTTTGTTCTAAGAAACCGAAAATTGTTTCGAAGCCTACCAGTAAAGAGTTTAAAGGCTGTTGGCACACTTCTCCGCTGTGTAATCCAAAACACATCAGCCTTCTTCGACATGTACAACCCTGGATCAATAATCACTGGTTTAGCCCTCTGACTCCTACAAACATCAACACTCGATATCAATAAGAACTCTTCACAAAAAACAAGCCAAAAGAATCAAAAGAAACACACAAAAACCAAAGAAGAAGCCTATCACTTACTCTTTCCATCCAATGTTGCTTGTATGATCTATGAAATTGAGATCACGAGACAAGTAAGAAAAAGTATGCAGTAGATCTAGCAAAAAAGTCCAAAATCCATCAATAAGATTTGTCAATTCATATCCAGCACCTCCACCAAACAAAAACAAGACAAGAAAAAAACAACAACCCACCATCTTGTGTAACAAGAGGATAATCTGAAGCACTGAGGTTAATAAACCAATCCCAATCGCCACCTTCTCGGAGCAAAATCGCGGCGGCGTGCAATGTAGTGGCCACCATAGTCGGACCTCGATAGGTAACAAGATTAGCCTTAGTGATGACCTTAACATTCCTAAATTTGTTAAAAATGGAATGATTCTGGACATAATTTTGCAGATCCAGCCGCTCCTCCGGCGGCGATTCGAGGTCCAAATGCAAAACATACCGATTAATCGGATGATACAAAGCTTCAAGCGTCCGTTTCAACATGTTGCCCTCTCCGATTGAACCCGAAATTAGGTACGCGAATCGCGGCGGCGGAGGGAGCGATGAAACTGGAACCGGATGAAGCTTCGATTCAACAAAGAACGAACTAGAAACAGCCAGCGATTTGTAAAACGGAAACAGAGAAGTTCCTCCCGGCGAGGTCATCAATGAAAGAAACAGAAGGAACAGAGATACCATGGAGCCTATTGCCAAGAGGAAGATCCATCGCCGCTCCATGTTCGGTGGGTGTCTGAAATGCATATAATAACTCCTCAATTTCTTCATTTCACCTCAAGAATCGGATTGCCCACAAAGAAAACGCTTCAAACATGGGGGTTTTGAGTGTGGAAATGGAAAAAGGAGTTGAATGTGGAGTTGGGTGTTCTTCGATCTCTACTGCAACTGAATTAGAACTAACACGAAAAGGAAAGAATTTGAGTGTTCAGTTGAGAAACGAACAAGAACCCATTTTTTACAATGAGAAATACAGTGAAACTGAAGATTTATATATCCCTCGCCCTTTCCATCTTCAACCTGCCATTGCTATCTCACTAACCTACCATTGATGGAAATGAGACACGAGATTTAGCCTATTTTAACTACGGAAATAGCATTATTATTCAATGCACCTATTTCTCTTTAAAATTTACGTTTCTAATCTATTTTAAATGCTTTTTTTTTTAAATACTGATTTTTTCATAGCCATTATTTTTTCAAATTTATATATTTTGCTGAATAAAAAATGAATATTACATTAATCTAGTTCAACTAATATAAAATATATAAAAAATATTACAATAAATTATATTTGAAGATTAAAAAAATTAAATTTAAATCTTACAAAAGAAAGTTTTGTATGCAAGGAAGGAATTTGCAAAAGAAAGAAAAAATGTTTTTTTTTAAGACTTTTCCTAGTCAATAAAATAGTCAAAGATTTCAATTTCTTAGATAAACTAAATACGTTTTTTAATTCACCAATTAATTAAATTATCATTTTTAGTTCGCAAATAAAAAGTATATAATTGAAAAGTAAAAGAGGTATTTATGTTACATTTATGTGTATATCTTAAATTCAAATTTGTTTATGATATATACACAATTAAAACGAGTTACGGTCATATTTTATTATTTCTTTTACATTATACAAAAGTTAATATCTTCGAAATTTTAGATCATTAAATTAAAAATGGAAAAATATTGCCAGAAGGAGTTTGGTTTTGTTTAAAGTCATCAAATTACTTAAAAAGTGGAAGTTTTAATAGCATTATTATTGGAAACTAAACTGAAGAAAAATTAATGAAAGTGAAAGGTCCTTAATTAAAATTTTCCATATTTTTCAATTTTTTTTATTTAAAAAAATGGTTTTAAATTAATTTTACACCAAATGAAACCATTTGTTAATAAATGATAGGTAAGAAAGTAATGGACAAAAAAAATTAATAGTAAAATTAAATGAGGACGGATAATTTTGAATTTAAATGGAACTTAAATACATGAAAATAAATGGTTAAGTTTATATTATTTTTCATAGCAAGACGTATTTTAAAATTGTGAGACTACGATACTCGTCGGAGTAGGGCTAGACTCTCTTCATAGTAGGCGCATTTTAAAATTGTGAGACGATGATACTGGTCGGAGTAGGGCTAGACTCTCCATGGTAGACGTGTTTTAAAATTGTGAGACGGTGATACGTAATAGGCCAAAACAGACAATATCTGCTAGCGGTAGACTTGGGCTGTTATAGATGGTATCAGAGCCAGACACCGAGCAGTGTTTAGCAAGAACATTGGACTTTCAAGAGGTGGATGGTGAGATCTCATGTTGTTTGAAGAGAGGAACGAAACCTAATCGTATCCAAATATCATGATTCACGTTCAGCAAGAACTTTGCCTCATTGACCAAGTTTGTGTGGCAATATGCATATTTTACAAATGATGTTCAATAAGTAAGGAATCATTTAGCTAGTAAAACTTTACTGTACACAGGAAGGTAGAATTCAAAGTCATGATCTTGAAATGGACATTTCATTCATCCTGTTCATAATCCGAGACGCATCGTTGAGTCTATTAGCTCTTTCGTAGATACTCGCAACGACGAGGTGCAGTTCCTTCTTATTGATATTGGGATCGGAGTCGAGCCTTTCGAACAACTCCTCCAATCTCTTGTAATCCTTTCTTGCACCGTAGAGACTGAGCATCTGGAAGTGCACTTCGTCTGGAAAAACACAGCCCTCTTCTTGCATCTCCATATATACAGCATCGGCCTTGTCAAAGTCCCTCAGCTTCCCATAAGCGTTTAGGACAAGGGCAATGACATTAGAGCTTGGGAAATGCCCCACACTTCTCATCTTCTCAAACACCTCCACCACATTTTTGTGCTTCTTGTTCCTCGAAAACAGGTCGATCATGCACCCGAAAACAGATATATCCTTTAACTCGCCTGCATCAAATGCTTGACGAAACACCCAAGTGGCTTCTTCGACTCGACCAGCTCTAGCAAGAATGGTAATCGCTGTCTTCCTCGGAATGTTGTCTGGTTGCTTTAACTCTTGAATCAAACGCTTGGCATGAGCAACCAAGCCTGCCCGCTCATAGGCCACAATCATAGTCTGGTAAAGGACCTGATCAATCTCAGCACCAGAGCTTCTCAGCTTCTGGAATAGCATTGCAGCTCTATCCAACTTTCCTGCTTTACCCCATATTGAAATTATTGTTGAGTAAGTGATAGCATTTGGTTCAATCCCTCTATTTTGCATCTCTTGTATGAGATTTGTTGCTTTTTCATGCTCCAAGGACTTCCCATATATCTTGATCATGGTGTTATATGTCACGACATTCTGCTCGATCTCCTTCCTCTGCATCAACCGGAAAAGGTGTATCGCTTCCCCGAAAAGCTCAGCCTCACCATAAACCCTCAGAATGGTGTTGTAACTCACAACATTCGGTTCGATTCCCATCTTTCTCATGCTCCAAAACAGCCGATCAGCTTCCTTCACCATATCCAATTGACCATAAACATCAATCATAATGTTACAAGTTGTAAGATTAAGCGGGCAGTTGACCTCTGTCATCTCAGAAAACACAGAGAGTGCCTCCAAGAACTTCTCATTCTCAACAAACATACTCAGCAAAGTGGAATAGCTAACAGTATCAGGCACAACATCCACAGCTCTCATCTCTTTCAACAAAAAACGAGCCTCTCTAAAAAGCTTAGCTTTTCCAAACACATTAATCATGGAGTTATAGGCTACAATGTCGGGGGTAATCCCAGATCTTTTCAATCTCGAAAAAATAGAAATAGCCTTTGAATAATCACAGAGTTTACGAGAAAGCTCAATCAAATTACTGTACAAAACAAGGTCCCCAGACACACGATCTTGGTCCATTTTTTGTAGCCAAGAGAGGGCAGCATCAAACATACCCTCTTTGCCAAAATAAGTGATAAGGGTCGAATAAGTATACCTATCAGCCGCAAGAGCTCTCTGGCGCATTTCGTCGAACAGCCCATGTGCAAGCTCCCACTGTTTAGCGCGTAGCACATTTCGTAGAACAACATTGTAAGCGAAGACCGAAGGAGTGTACAGAGCCTCTTCGTTGATCCAATCGAGAATCGCAAGCGACCTTTGCCAGTCCGATTCTCGCGACAGAATCGACACCATAAACCGCATTGAAAGCTGCCGCCCTTTGTACGGCGACAGAATCGAGTAAAGCTCTTGCTCATTCTTCGTTTGTCCAATTGACGCTAAAAGCTCATCCATATCAACGCTATGGTCTAAATGTGAGGACTCTCTTTGCCTCCTTGCACTGCGTTCGTACTTTTGGGGAAATGGGGTTGTGGTTGATTTCTCAGATGAGGTTTTTCTTCTCCATATATCTTTGGATGTTGAAGAAGACGAAGCTCTGGGAATTGAAATTCGAATTCTGGGCTTTGATTTAAACTCACTCAGGCAAACTTTGAGGTTATTTCTGGTTTCGATTAGGCACAAGAAAACGGGGGAAGAGAAGGATGAAGTCGATTGTAATTGCATTGAAGAAGGTGAGATTGAAGCGACAACCATTTCGACAAAGGGAATTAGTTCATAATTTTGAGGAGTGAAGAGGAGAGAGTAGAGATTTCTTCGCAGCTCCGTTCCCGGCGCCGGTGACGGAGACCCCTTCGCGTTTTCGCTTCTTCGTGCCTTCTTTGTATTTTTTCTATTTCATTTATTGTTTTTTTTTTTTTTTTCCATATTAACTAATCTCAATAATATTCTTAAATTTACCCAAATTACAAAATTTTTATTAATTATGTAAAAAAAGAGAAATTAAAAATTTATTAAAAATAAAAACTAGTGGGAGATTTGAACCACAAATAATGGGGTGCTGGAATTAGCAGATTCCGGCGAGGCAAAGCCGTAGGGTCCTCCATTTTCGGGTTTACACTATTTGTTTTTCACCTAAAAAGGGTTGTCTTGAATTTTGGGTCATATTTTGTTGTTGTTGTTGTTGTTGATTCCGTCGTCCAGGACTGCGATGGAGCTATTCCAGAAGGCCAAAGTGGTTCGTCTAAAAAGCCACCATGACAAGTACCTCCTTGCAGAGGACGACGAAGAAAGCGTGTACCAAGACCGCAACGGCTCGGTCAAAAACGCCAAATGGACGGTCGAATTCGTCGACAATCCCCCCGGCCTCCGCTTCAAGAGCTGCTTCGGTAAATACCTAACCGCCTCCAATCTCCCCTTTCTTCTGGGCATGACCGGCAAAAAGGTCCTGCAAACCCTACCCCAAAAGCCCGATCCCTCCACCGAGTGGGAGGCCCTCCGTGAGGGCTTTCTAGTCAGGCTCAAAACTCGGTACGGCCAGTTCCTTAGGGCCAATAGCGGCTTGCCTCCCTGGCGCAACTCCGTTACTCATGATATTCCTTTTAGAGCCGCCACCAAGGATTGGATCCTTTGGGACATCGATATCCTCCAGGTTCGATCTCCCAGCTCTGTTCATTACCACTCGTCTGCACCTACTCTTCCACCACCGCCCCCACCCTCCAAGCACAAACCCCACCACCACCATCATCATTTCCGCCGCCGGCATTGCAAGGTCGTGGACTCCTCGCCGTCACGGGATCATCATTGTAGAGAACAGGTGGTTTGGTCTGCAATCCACAGCTATATTTCTCTTGGGTTTGAAGTTGAAAGTCTTATATATACATATTAATGACTTGCAGTCAAGCGAATCAGTAGATGGGTCACCAATGACAGCGGCGGAGGGGAGGGTGATCCATTACTATGTGGCAAACAGGAAAGGGGAGGTGAAGAAGGGAGTAGAAGAGGTGAGTTTTACATTCAAAGGGAGTCAGCCGGAGGAGTTGAAGGAGAAGTTGATAGAGGAGTCGGGCCTCCCCGACATCATCGTCTGTACTCGGAATCCTCTCAATGGAAAACTCTATCCTCTCCGCCTCCATCTTCCTCCAAACAATGCCGGCCTGCACGTTGTGCTGGTCCCTTCTTCTAATGGTCAGTATACTTGTCTTTGTCTTCAACGATTTCTTGATCTCCTCGTATAATTGCTGCCGCTTTGATGTTACTAGATATCGAGATGCTCGAAAGTCCGTAGAGCCAAGAACCAGATTTGAACTGGTGATAATGAAGATTTTCAGTCTTCTACTCAACTAACTGAGCTATCCCGCTAGAGAAATCAATCAAACCACAGGGTTTTCTGTCTAGAAAAGTTTAGGACCTCCAACCTACAGTCATCCCATTCTCCAAGACTTAGCTCCAAATCTACTTGTTCTTTGATAACTCTAATCTACTTATATTCTTTGATAACTCCCAATTGAATCTTTGGTTTGAATTTTTGTGTATTAATTGTAACATACAAAATGACTCTTTCTTTGTTCTAAATTATTCTTTTATTCTTTTATTATGTATTCTATGTATTAATATGGATCAAATGGGAATAGGTCGGTTACTTTTAACATGCTAAACTTCGTTCAAACAAACTCAATTTCTCGATGAATTATAGAGTTAACAAAATGTATATATTTTTGTCCATAAACCAAATAAAGTACCTATTTTCATCGGTTTTCTACTACTAGGGCAGCTCACGTGATCCTACAATATTTAAGCGCCAAAAAAAACACTTAAAATAAAATAAGAAAAACAAATAATTTAAATTAATCTAAAATGTAACCCAGAATTGAATACAAGCCCAAAATCTCAAAATCTGTAGGCAGGCTAAACCAATTCTGGAATTGTGTTAATTTCAATTTCAATAAATCCTGCGATACTCAGAAACTAATATTTATCAAGAACATAAAGGTTGAACACAAAATACAAAATGAAAAGGCAAACACCAAAACAAAAACAAATCAAATGCGAGATGAAAAACATGGATTCCCACGTTGTCTTGTTCCTTTTCCTTTTTCACTGCTCTGTAAGATTTGCAATTCTCAAGATGAGATCAATCCTGACTTACTTTCCCATCATTGTAAATCATCTCTAAAAATGAATGTGATTCTCAAAGAAAGGTAAAACAAAATGCATTCACAAGCAAATATTTGCATTCCCATAGAGGAAGGCCACAACAAATGCTATTATAATAGCAAAGACACTGAAAAAAAGGAAGAAGATGAAGAAGAGGAGCAGCACACGGTTCTTACAGATCATAGAAATTGTCTTAACTAAGCATTATACTATCAAGATTTGTTTCACACAGATAACAAAGTTCAAGTCAGCTTCAGAACTTGAGCTGTTTGCAAGAAAACATCCTAAAACTGTTGGGCTTTTAAGCACTTCACCAACTAAAGGCAAACAATGGGTATGCCTTACAGAACAGAGAAGATGGATAGATTGAGGATGGAGTTTAACATTCAAATAGCTGACCAAGTTAGAAAATAGATAACTTTCAAATGTCTACATAAAGGAGAGGAAGAAGTGTGAGAGTGAGAGGACTTATTGTTGGGGGTTTTTGGATTAAAGTTCAACCAGATGCTCATCTGTGCTTTTGAATCTTCTTCTCCAGCTCTTCTTTGCGGGCTCCAACCACTGTATCCACCACTTTCCCTCTCCTCAGCAACATAAATGTGGGCATAGCTTGTACTCCAAATTCCTGAGCCACATCCTGATTTCACGAACAATCTTGTCAATCTTGCAATTAAATTCTAGCTAAATGTATGTTTTAGTCCCTAATATTGGTGTATTTTCTATTTTCAATCTACTCTTGTTGTTTAAAATGTTTCAATTTAGTCCCTACATTTGAAAAAATTTCGTTTGTCGAACAAGAACATGTGAGACTAGAGGTACCTTTTGGTGAGAATAGCTATGACCATGTTTGCATGTTTTAACATTTTTCGACTATATCATTTCCGTAAGTCAATATTAATATTAGCTTATGATAAACCTACGCGATAAGGGAAGAAATTTTCTCATTTCTCTTCCAAATTTGTAAGAAATGGGTAGAAATTGCAAATGTTTACTCTCCTACATGCCTAATATCTCTTTGAAACTTATACTAACTCACTAAGCATTTATTGGACAACATAAAGTTAGAATGAAAACAACAAAGACTAAAGGCATGTTTCACACGATTCATAATAAATTTTAATGATTTGAAAATCACATTTAAAAATATAAAATTAAACATAAATTAAATTTTAATGATTAGAGTGTTGGGGATGGTTGGGGAGTCCCACATCAGCTAATTAAGGGGTTGATCATGGGTTTATAAATAAGAAATACTATCTCCATTGGTATGAGGCCTTTTGTGGAAACCAAAATCAAAGTGATAAGAGCTTATGCTCAAAGTGGACAATATCATACCATTGTGGAGGTTCGTGATTCCTAACATAATATCAGAGTCATGCCCTTAACTTCGCCATATCAATAGAATCTTCGAATGTCAAACAAAAAAGTTGCAAGCTTCGAAGGTGTAGTCAAGTGGCTTAAGTGTCAAACAAAGGGTGTAATTTGTTCGAGGACTCCAGAGAATCGAGATTAAGGGGAGGTTGTTCAAGGGCTCCCTAAGCCTCAAAGGAGGCTCTATAATTTACTTTGTTCAAGGGGAGGATTGTTGGGAGAGGAGTCCTACATCGGCTAATTAAGGGGTTGATCATGGGTTTATAAGTAAGGAATACTAGTACGAGGTCTCTTGGGGAAACAAAAAGTCAAGTCAGAACTTATGATCAAAGTGGACAATATCAGCATTACTAACATAAAAGAGATGTTTTAAATTGATTTTGAAGATGAAAGAAATGGTTTTAAATTCATGCACTAAACTGAAAAAACGCCCTAACATTAGCAACAAAATTTATGACTACAATCGCGGTTAAGATTCTGACACAGAAATAAGAGGAAGCAAAATTGAGAGAAGGAGAAAGGCGTACAGATAGCTCATCTACATCGATTTTGACGAACTCAACATCGGTGTATTTGCTGGCCATGGCGTTGAAGGACGGCTCCATGAGCCTACAGGGTCCACACCAAGTCGCGGAGAAATCAATCACCATCTACTCTCCCACAATCCAACAAATTCAAGGAAGAGAAAGAGATCAGATCAGCAATCGAATTGACAACAGTAACCCTAGAAAAAATCCCTTTGATCCAACAACTGGCAATTGAAATAGTAAAATAGAGACTTACGAGCTTGGAGGATTCCTTAGCGGAATTGAAGTGGAGTTGCCATCTAGCTGAGGAGTGAAAAGACAACACGGAAGACGGCTCCGACGACGCATCTTCGGCCCTCGCCGTCGAGGGGCCGAACCAGTTTGAAAGAAGAGCTCCGATCTTCGATAGAAGGACTCCCATTTTTCTCCGTACGCAAGAAAAATTGATGCGTCGGCGTAGACTTTGCCAGACGAATGGGCCATGGCTTTTATCATTGCGGCCCAATAACCAATCAGAAAATAGGAATATTTAGGTATTTATACAGGGTAATAATTATATCTATTTTCACACTATTTCATTTAAATTCACTCAAAATCACTTAAATAAAATTATTATTTTTCACACAAAAATAAATTACAAAAGTATGCATATTAATGAAATTTTGTTTTTTTTTTTTACTATTTATTTTTAATATTGTGAAATATGCATTAATAATTTTAAAATAAAATTTTATCTGAAATAATTCTAGTTTAGAGTTTTTTTTTTTAACGGGTACAATTTGGTAATTAAGTAGTAATACACCTGAGTATAAAAATCTAATTTTTTTAATTGATACAATTAATAATTTTGAAATAAAAAAAGACCTTTTGACTTAATGGGCATAAAATATGAAAGATGCTAAAGGAATTAGGAATATTTTTTTTAAAAAAAATATCGAATAAGGAATAGATACCCTAATTTAAATCAACAGAAAGAAAAAAAGAAGATGCTAATTCTAAAGACCATATATTGAGAGAGAATTAAAAAAAATCCAAAAAAAAAAATATATATATATATATATATATATATATATATATATAAACACATATAGATATATCGATATAGATTCATATATATATATATAGATACACATATATATATATACATACATACATATACATACATACACACATACATACATGCATGCATACACACATACATATACATACATACATCATATACACATACATACACACACACATACATACATACATACATATATGTTTCTGGAAGAAAAAAATTCTCCTTCTAAATTGGGGATTAGGGGAAGGTTTGTTTGTGTAAAATCGTCTACACTTGTCAATTCCTTAAATTCTTGTCGATACAGAAATAGATTTGAACCTATTGTGTCGAAACTTGGAACAAGAAAATAGAGTTGGAACAATATCTCAGCATGAATCCATCATGGGCCTCAGTTTCAAAAGGGAGGGGCTGACCAGAGTGTACTAAACAAGTCTCTAATGATACCATCATCATCTCAACGCTTATTTCAACAATCCAAAACAACTGCCAAGTCTGAAGAACAAACAAGTTAATTCTTCAAGCCATAGCGAGTGAAATTTCCTAATCATGGCTTGAGAACCAAAGCTAGACCAACTTTTGCGCTCTTCTCAATTGCTTTGGTGTCTACCTCCCCAGATACAGTGAACAATGATTTTGGACGCCACTCGTGCTGGATAAGAGCACTTGCCTTTCCGAAGTTGTTCACCCGTGCCTTCACTGTGGTCAATGGGTCGAGTGCATGTTGGGTGCCGACCGTGATCGTGTTCTCGTTGGAGGAAAAGCTATGAGCTACCTCCGCACCGACAGCGGTGCTAGTCAATGGGTTCACTGTGTGGTAGTATGATGCACTCAAGGTATCACCTTTATCGTTCCTGAATCATGAATGGACATAATTATTCCCCTGAATATGTACCAAAACCTATACGAGAGCTGACTTAAAAAACTCACAAGGTCAGAGAAGCAATAAGGTCTGCGTTGGCAAAGCTTAGTCCAGAGTTGACTTTGGTGAAGTTTCCAGTTTTGGTATCGAATGAAAGATCGGTACCAAGGGCAAGAAGATTCGTTCCAACAACACCAGAAAAGTTGACAATAGGATTGGCTGTCAGCCCAATACTCGTGCTGATTCCAGCATAATCATGCAGATATTGCAGTTCCACCTACTTGACAAAAACAAAATTCAGTTGGCTGAATTTATCTGCCTGTTTTGTAACTATTTTCACATGATGGTCAGAGAAAAAAAATGCACAGCACCACAATTAGAAAAGAAAGACACAAAATCCTGAGACTGAAAGAAAACACATTATTCCATCACTCACCTTACCAGACCTTTGATCAGGGACTTTGAAACTAAAGATTGCCTTCAATCCAGGAGCAGGTTCATCCACGGTGATAGTTGTGACAAGCTACAAAATTTCACAACAGCAGTCACAACAATTGCACAAAAAGTAATATGACACAAAGAATAAGTAAAAAGGAACGTACAACATCACTACCAAATACCAGTGATTAAAAATGGCATACACAAACCTACCTCGATTTAGATTTTATAATTGCATCAATAAATGTGCATGTCGGTGGATGAGGTGGGAGCAATTACAAAAGGGGTTCAACCCAATGGCTTACCGCCTCAAAGAAATATCATTACTGAATATACTTAAGAACTGCCTCAAACAAAATAGAGAAGCAGATGGCTTTTCTCAGATTGTCAGATGATCATGAAAAGATAGGCATGCTTACTGCTGCTTTCCACATCAAAGTGGACCAACCACTGCCGAACATGATTCCTTATTCTTCAATAAAAGTACAAAGGGATAGACTAAACAAGGGAATCTAGCTTCACCAAGATGAAGCAAGACAAACACTCGCTTCAAATATTCTATGTTAATATTTTAATCATAAACTCTTAATTATTCAGAGTGTTATACATGATCACATGATCCTTGATTGTGAACAATTCATGTTATCTTTCTATAGTGCATTCAGACTTTCTCAATGGGCTTTCTTGAACTGAATAGAGTTCCGTAATCAGATGAAAATCCAAGATATTCAGACAGGGGCGGAGTGAAAAAGAAGAGGGCAATTGTCCACTTTTCGTATGACATAATTCAAAAACTTATATACAAAATAGTTGAGACTTATCTGATTTTTCCCTCTGAATTTTAAAAATTGAAATTTTAGTTTATAAAAAGTTAGCATGTAAAACCATGCCCCACCCTAAGAAAATTTCTGGCTGCACCACTGTATTCAAATATGAAAATGGAACAACAATGACACTAAACCAAGCAAACCCTCTAATTTCTTGACTTACTAATGGGGGAAAAAAAAAGAACTATGAGATTAAAATTCCATGCTATAAGTAATGGAGAGAGAGGGAGAACAGGAGGGGGGCAAGTATGATACTCAAATCTTAAACAGAGGAATACAATAAAGCAGAAAGTAAAAGAAAAATATGTTACATTGGAGCTCGTGTCAACTTTGATATCCGTTGTGATATTTTTGTTCTTCAGCTGAGTATTCACATCAGCCAGAAACAGGTCACCCTTCTTAGTTCCTGAAGATGTTATAGCCTGCAGACAGAAAGATATAAATATGGAATAAGCGCACGCTTGTAATAGTAGAGGAAAAGCATTATCTAAGTTAATTCCCAAATACTTGGCATAAATATCTAGTAAGCAACCACAGGACCGAAATGGAACATGGAATTTGTTCATGGAAGATCCAACTAATTTTAAAAAAATGGTGCAAAAGAATCATGAATCGCAGTCGATACTGACCCGTGTATGCAATATAATAAAATGAAAATTAACTACGCCATTCACCCTTTAGGCTTTAACAAATCTCAGAAATTTGGGCGGTCACAATTTCTTCCATAGGAACCTTATTAAATTGAAAATAAAACAAACATACCCCATAAACAGAGTGGTAATGTCAGTGACCATTAAAAGAAAAGAAAACCATACATTCATTACTTCAAAGAATCAAATTTCAACCCAACAGGTATACAAAAGCTATATAAGTTCTGGTAATACCTCGGAATCAATAAAGAACAGCAACAGAATTAAAAACGAGAGAAATAAAGTCAAAATTTCATAATTAAGAAGCGTATTTACACTCCTTTTTTTGTTGTACTTAACGATTCATACACCAATGGAAATTGAATCCAACAGTAGAAGTTGAACACCAAAATAGATACTAGAAACTAAAGAGAGTGGCAAGACGAACTCACAACTCCAGTGGGGGAGTAGGTGGTGATGGTGAACTTTTGGTCGCTCTGGTAGTCTCTGTACAGAAGATCTGCCAAAGAAAACAGCACAATACTAAAAGATTTAAAGAAAAATTAACCAAAATAAAAGATTGAACACCATGTTACAGGAGGAAAAAAATGGAATGAAGAAATGAAGATGGAGAAATGAACAACCTCTAGCTCTCTTGCCGATGTCGGAGTAGAGACCAGGACCCTTTCCCATGGTTTGTGGGGGAAAATGAAAGATTCAAAAGGAGAAGGAAACGAAAATCCTGAAAGGGAAACGATAATCCTCTTCCCCACCAGGTGGAAATGAATGGAGGATTCGGGGGGCTTTGATATACACCTTTAAAACCCTAATTTCAGCCCTTTCTTCTTCTTTTTTCTCTTTATTTTCCCCTTTTTTCTTTTTTCTGCCTGTTATTTTTCGACCGTTGGATTCGAGAATAAAGACCATCCTCTAGCATTTACGACCGTTGAGTTTTATATATATTTCTTTCTTTCTTTCTTTAATAAATATAATTAAAATATTGTGTCGACTGTCGAGAATGTCTCGGTATTAATTCTGATGATGTCATATTTTGTGCACTATTTTTATTAGATAAATTTACAAAAATGGAAAGTATATAATAACAATTTAGATAAATATATGATTAAATTACCTGTAAATTTTTTTTATTTATTGGGAAGTTAACTTATTCAAATAAATATATGATTAAATTACCTGTAAATTTTTGTATTTATTGGTAAGTTAACTTTATAAAGTATTTAGATCCCATTTATTTTCATATTGACATTTAATTAAATTGTGTATTGAATATATGGATTAATTTTTAATAATTTTGAATATGTTATGACATATAATTAAATTGTGTATAGAATAGTTGGATTAATTTTCAATAATTTTGAATATGTTAAAAGACTTTAATGTGACAGATTAGGTGATATGGAAATCAACCCAAGGGAAAGTATGGAACGGATTACCTTGATGATCAAGATTAAGAGTAAAGAAAACTCGTTCCTAAACTCGTGATTCGAATCACTCCACAAGAGGTTTCATCAATACCACTTAATGATTCTACATGCAAGTTCTAAACACAATAATTTACAAAGAAAATTTAGCTCTCAACAAAGATAAAATAGAAATTCTATTCTTAATTCCAAAATCTGATGTCTAATCAAAGGAAATAAGGCTTTATATAGCCTTTACAACCTTAACTTATGTCATACATAACTCCTAAATTAGATGGGCCAGTAAATGAGAAATACCCATAACCTCCCTATTAAAATGACTAGTTAATGGTATAATATAGTAACTTACGTGGGTTACAATATAACCTTAACTCCTACATTTAAAACTAGCTTAAATATGACCCACAAATAATTAAACTATAATTAAATAATGTAATTAATAAAATGTGCTTATTAGTCATCTTTGAACTAATTTCATAAATTCAGCAGAATTCATTAAATGCAACTTGAAGTGCATTTAATTCATCTCTTTCTTGAACCTCAACTTTGCACAACATATAAGGGAGGTCTCTGGCGTCTTCTAGAATTTCCTTTGATGAGCTCACCGTAGCTTGAATATAAATGTATAAGGTTTGTTGTAGCTTCTTGGCTCTCGTCCTTGTAATTGGACCTTGAGGTATGAAAATTCTTTAGTCGTGGTTCATATCATTAGGTATTTATTATATATTTTTTAATTTTAAAAACTTTTTAGACACTAAGTAAAAATTAGAGATTAATAATCCCTAGCTCCGTCGTTCCATACTTCAAATTTCACCCTGTGTTTTCTTCTTAATATTGATTAATTCAGAATTTATTTTAGACCAACTAGAAATTTTGTTGAGTTGAGTTAAGTTGTTGTATTGTTCGTGTTTTTTTTTTTTTATTAATTTCAAATTTTGTACATTAATAATCAAAATTTCATAAAACTCGATATTAAATATTGACAAAGCACAACAGATATCATTAACATTAGTTACAGATCTCAAATAATTTTAATTTTTATAACAATCTACGCTCACTTGTGATCCATATATTTTAGGGTTGGTCAAATTAGTCGTAGAAATAAAAATCAAACCGAATTTCAAATTTAAAAAAAAAATTAACCAAACCCAAACAGTAAAAATATAACCCAATTGAACCTTTTTATAATTTGAGGTAGACAGCCTGAGTTGTTTGAGTCATTGGATTATGTGAATATCCAAACTTCTTATCTTTCATCAATTCCTCGTAATTTTAGTACGTCTCTCTTATCGAATACAAACTAGTTTAAAGCAATGGGTATAACAATCTAAATCCACTGCTAATGGATATTGTATGTTTTTGTCCGTTATGTATCACTATCGACTTTATAGTTTTAAAACGAGTTTACTAGAGAGAGATTTTCACACTTTATAAAAAATGATTCATCCCCTACTCAAACTGATGTGAGAATCTCGCGATGGATAGCACGAGTGGTAGAGTACTACAGTCGCGTGAATAGGTTGGTGAATAAAAATATGACATACAGGTTATTGAATAAATAAAATACCAAATACAAAACAAAATCTGGATCTTCGACGCGATAGCTACTCTCTCCAATATTCTGGAGTGTTAAGAGAATGGTGAAGAGTATTGAGATCGCCATCTGGGTATATATAAACCTTGAATTCCCACTCCATCTCTGGATCAAGGTTGAGAGCGCTATGCCTGCATGTGAGGAACTACCTGTTTTTGAAAGAAACTGATCTTCTAAGATGTGGCTTGTAAATCCAGCTCAATCTGTGATTAATGGCGTCGATTAATGGGATCAAGGAGGCACCATTCAACTTAATTAGTGTCAAATTCGATGGTGAGTGTAATACTAAGGTTTTTCTGCGCTTGTTCGGGATTGTATGTTTTCAATTATAATGCAAATTGCGGCTCAAAATAGAACTGTTCTCATAGATTTTGTACTCACTAGTTTGGATTTGGGGAGAACTCAAGCTCTAATCGGAAGTATCATATCGCGTTGTTGTTTAATCATCCGAAGTTTGTCAATCCTCTCGACGTTTACCCTAATTTGTTTCATAAAGTTTCATAGAATTAGGAATTTATGATTGGATAGGAGATAGTTAGATCTGATATTTGAAAAACACGTACGAAGAATTAGGAATTTATAGTATGGCTAACCATTTGAAAACTTTCTTCTTTGAATTTTCATGCAATTTCCGATTGTTTTTGACAGAATCTTTATCGCCCAGCTGATATTTGCACAATTACAGAGTGAAACGCGAGAATGCAGATAGTTCTGGGTGATAGATTACTAGCGAAGAAGGTCTGTTCACTATGCTTCCAATTTAACATATTGCAATTTCCCTTCTATTTTGTTTATTGCATATGACCATCCTTCGTTGATATCTTTAGCACACACATTTACATGTTCTCCTAAAATCATCAGCAGTATACCATTTTGGGAAAAAAATGGCAAAAAAAAATTCAACTCAAAAACTTCATCTCTGCAAGGGTTCTTTCCTGGTGTTTAGCGTCAATGTCCTAAATATCGGTACCATGTATCTTGTGATGGCATGGTTGCATTGATGCCTTACAATGACATCAAGTAGTAATAGACCAGTGCTACCGGCAGTGCAATGAGCAAGCCCAAGAGTACCCTGATACCAAAACAAAACCTCATTTCAGTATGTAGTTTAGCTATATAACTTGTTTTTCCTGTCTTTGATTTTTTGGATGAAATGCTAGAAATTAATATGAAGCGAAGTTCTATCATCTGAGCCCATTTAGATACAAGAAATGATGAGTGTTTGATTTGAAAATTACAATATTTACCCTGTGCTTAAAACATCTGGATGTATATTATACTCCTTGGCAAAGACAAATGGAACAATTCCTTGAGGAAGTGCTGCCTGTACCAATAAAGAAGAAAAAAGACGTCAAACAGAATTGTCAATCCTGCATGTGGACTTAGTAATACAAATTACAATGAACCTGCACAATTGCCACTTTGAGCAATCTGCCCCTAAGTCCTAGAGGAAATGAGCATGCTGCCATAAGTGCAGGCCCGATCAAGAATTTCATTCCCATGGCCACCAGTGTCATCTTTGTACCACATGCTATAATGCTACTCCGCGAACCCATGAACAGTCCTAATGAGCAAGACAACTTGAAGTTAAGTTTTTCTTCATTTACTTGATAGAACTTCTTGTAAAGTTTTCATTTCATACCTAAGCTGAACATAGCCATACCAAGTCCTCCAGTTGATAGAATTGTTATTGATCTGTCAATAACTTCTGGCAGTTTTACTCCCCACCTGAGAGCATGTTAGTTTCATCCCAATGCATCTTTAAGTTTTTTTTTTTGAAGTGAAAGTTATTGTTTTTAATTCACCTGAATCGTATGCTTGCCCAAATGAGTCCCAATATAGTTGCATGAGTATTGGGGTTGCTGATGAGCTTTCTAGCAACTGTTAAGAGAATGGTCCTAGTTTTGAGACTCCTCCTGCTTCTGTCTCTTGCCTCCTCAATTTCTTCTTTGGCTCGCTCTTCTTGAGTTATATCAATTTCTGCTTTTCAAAAAGGCAAACAGCATAACTAGAATGATTGAATCTGACAAAGTTAGCTTACACATTTTTGTTTCGTAAATTTATGTGAGAGTGTGAGATCCCACATTGGTTGGGGAGGAGAACTAAACATCCTTTAGAAGGGTGTGGAAACCTCTCCCTAGCAGACGCGTTTTAAAAACTTGAGGGATAACTCGAAAGGGAAAGCCCAAAGAGGACAATATCTGCTAGCGGTGGGCTTGGGCTGTTACAAAGAGTATTTTAAGTATTCTTTGTGCCAAATACACTGGATTAAGTATAGCACTCATGACTGATGGAAGTAGGAAGAGAGAAAAATTTAGGAAATGAGAGAAGTCAAGAAAAAGTTAAGCAAGTTCCCATTCTTGGTCTTACATATATGAAGTAATGTTATTTTGGTTGATAGCATGAATACAGCAGCCATTTCTGTTGAGGGAAGTCCTAATATTGTACATGAGACTCAAGCTGGGATGGTTATTGAAGTTCATGGGCATGAATATGACCATTTTTGTTTAAGGAATTCCTAAGCTTTACACAGCATGACCTATAAAGTAGGGGTGAATTGATTCTGTTTGTTACTATTTTAAAAAGCAATTCCAATGCCTACCTGTGGCTTCTGATGCTGGAGCTAAAGAAGCTGCTTTGGTGGTAGTGAACTCAAAGAGAAACAGTAATATGTTGTACCAAAGAATGCTCTGTAACACAACAATCTGGGCAAGAAGCACATCTGCTTCAGTGCCGTACATGGCCTTCAATACTGGGAGTCCAAGAATTAGAGTATTTGGCATGGTTG